ATATAAAAATGAATGGCATGGGGAGGCTCAGTCAGATGGGCAGCCGACTCTTGGTTTCAGCTCAGGTCATTATCTTGGGTTTGTGGAACTGAGCCCTGCGTCCGGCTCCGTGCTAAGTGCAGAGTCTGCTGAAGATTCTCTTTCCCTTCCCCCTGCCCTCTTCACCACTTGCCTGTGTGCATGCACTCTCCTTCTCTTTAAAATAAATAAAGATCTTTAAAAAAAAATGAGTGGCATAAGGCCCTAACCATTCTTTCGAAATAGCTTAAAACTTTTCTGGCAATCAAAGTCAGAGGAAATACAGTGAGCTATATCCACAAAATAAAAACAAATCTGCTGCACAAAGAAGCCCAGGTAGTGAAAGCAGAGAGAAATGACTTCTTAGGGTCTCATAAAGAGGATGCTGCATAAAAGTCCCAGAAGACCAGCACAGAGCTTGGCTTATTCTTTTTTTTTTTTAATTCTTTATTTAAATTCAATTTAGTTAACATATACTGTATTATTAGTTTCAGAGGTAGAATTTAGTGATTCATCAGTTGCATACAACACCCAGTGCTCACTCCATCATGTGCCCTCCTTAATGCCCATCACCCAGTTACCCCATCCCCCCCCCTCCCCTCCAGCAACCCTCAGTTTGTCCTCTATAGTTAAGAGTCTCTTACGGTTTGTCTCCCTCTCTGATTTCATTTATTTTATTTTTCTTTCCCTTCCCCTTTGTTCATCTGTTCTGTTAGGGTCCACATATGAGATCATATGGTATTTGTCTTTCTCTGACTTATTTCACTTAGCATAATACCCTCTAGCTCTATCCATGTTGTTGCAAATGGCAAGATTTCTTTCTTTTTAATGGCTGAGGAATATTCCATCACACACACACACACACACCATCTTCTTTATCCATTCATTTGTCAATGGACATCTAGGCTCTTTTTGTTTGGCAATTAGCATTGTTTGGCTATTGTGGATGGATACTGCTGCTATAAATACTGGAGTGCATGTGCCCCTTCGAATTACTACATTTGTATCCTTTGGATAAATACCTAGTAGTGCAATTGCTGGGTCGTAGGGTAGCTCCATTTTTAACTTTCTGAAGAACCTCTGTTCTGTTTTTCCAAAGTGGCTTCACCAGATTGCATTCCCACCAACAGTGGTTTCCCTTTTTATGAATCCTTGCCAACATCTGTTGTTTCCTGAGTTGTTAATTTTAGCCATTCTGACCGGTGTGAGGTGGTATCTCATTGTGGTTTTGATTTGTACTTCCCCGATGCCTAGTGATGTTGAGCATTTTTTCATGTGTCTGTTGGCCATTGGTATGTCTTCTTTATAGGGGAGCATCCAATAAATTTTGTCAAATGAAATATTGGATAGTATCCTCAACAACATACTAGCAAAAAATCAAGCAACAATCTTCACAGAATGTGCAGGCCTAATGTCCTCTGATGTAGGTGGACACAGAATATGGTGACCCCACATATGTGAGCAAGCACAGCCAAGAACAGAGCCCCAGCTGACCCAAAGGTGAAACAGTCCAGCCAAGCCCAAATGGGATAAACTAACCCACAGACTCACAAACTTGATGTTTACTGTTCTATGTCACTGAGGTTTTGTAGGGGGTTGTTACTCAGCATTATTATATGCCAGCAATTAACTGATACCCCTATCCTCCTCATGAAGTGCTGAGAAATATTTTTCAACTGGTTGTGGAACTGCCATTCTCTTAAGGGAGGACAAAAGCAAGGGATCTAGAGCCTGACACTCACTCACTGTTCTGCCACTTAGTACTGATATGACTTCAAGCAAGTGCATTAGCTGCTCCTGCCTCCATTTCCTTAACAGTAAAATGGAGACAATACTAGTGTACTATGCTGGAGATTAAATAATTCATGTAAGAAATTTACAATTGAGTATGGCACATAATGAGCTCCATAAATGTTAGATTAAAAAAGGCTGAACTTGGCAAAGATTGTGACTGAATAGGAGAACCCCACCGCTACACAGATGTGGGCTGAGACATTTTTGGCAGGCAGGGCCCAAGATTCTGTTTTAATATAAAAATAGGACAAAGTTCCAAAATTCTTCTCCATAAATTATTCTAGGCCAAAATTATTTTGACTGTGTTTTAGGAGCCAAAGTCAACTTAAATACCCATCTCAGCTATAAGAAAATCTCATTAAAGCACCTTGAGAACACATGTCCTAGGGGAGATGAGAAGTGATTGCTTAATGGGTACAGGGTTTCTTTTTGGTGCTATGAAATGGTTCTGGAACAAGGCAGTAGTAATGGTCATACAACATTGTGAGTCTATTGAAAGCCACTGAATTACAGACTTTTTAATGGTTAAAATGGTGAATTTTATCTTAATAAACCAAAAAGAACATACACCCTTGAGCAATCCTGCAATCAGTTACAACCTGCCAGTTACAAGTTGGAGGTACATTAAAAACAACAGGACACTCTGGCTTTTTAGATAGGTATTCTCCTCTGACAGAACAGATAACTGGCCTAATTGTCTATTAAGGCCATTCCTAGCCCATAATAATGAAACCCCATTAGCTATATAAAATAGCTACCTCAGATTTTTATTGATGCTTTTATGTGCTAAGCACTCTTTAACTGCTTTGTAAACAGTTTTTCTCAGGAGGGGTACGAGTGTCATTTTAAGTGGGACAATTCTTCCTTCTACTATACTTAGTATCTCTGGATAACCCCACCCACCCTTGTCCAACCATCGCTGTGAGTCCTCACAAACCTATGAAGTAGAGATTATATTACTAATGAGGAAACTGAGGGTAGAAGAGATTGAGTAAACTAAGGCCACAAAGGTATTGGATGGTAGTGCTGGAGTTCAACCTAGGCAGCCTGACCAAGGCCTGGGCTTGCCTATCTCTTCTCTACAGTATGAAAGGGTATTGTATCTAATACATTCATTATGTAGTATCAAGCTATTTTCAAGTAAAAGTATTAGCTGATAACCTCAGGGACTAGAGAGCAAAGGCCAGGGAAAGATCAATAAAAGCCAAAAATTTCTTTTTATGTTTATAAGATTCCTCCACAAGCTAATTATGAACATAATCATGATTAAAAAGAAATGGCCACAGCTACATCTCATCTGCTCCTGTGTGGACAACCACCTAAAAACTCAGATGAGCAACTTATCGTGATAGGAAATGGGTCTACAATTTATATGGGAAGTCTAACAACCCAACAGGTCTGAAATTTGAGGACTAAATAATGGCTATTTTAAGAAACAGACTGACTACAATCTTAAGAACCACCACCTAAAAGCAGACCCAGAGCCTCAGTGAAGGTAAAAAAAAAAAAAAAAAAAGTGCATCAGAAGGCCAGTCCCAGTCAGAGCTGTGGCTCCCTAGCAGCCCCCCTCCCTGGGTGCCTGATTAACTGCGAATTTCCTGATCAAGTGTACAAAGATGCCTTGATAAACTGCACAAATACAGGACCCAGTCAGACCAGCAGTTTATAAAGCTGGACAAGCCTCTGCCAGAGAGAAAGAAACCTCACTCATCAGATGCCCACTTTCAGTGGCAGTCTGAAAATCTGCTCTCCTCACTTAATGGGGTGGCCATAGGCATTCTTATATGGGTTTAGTAAAACTGAATTTTACTGAGGCAGTAGAAAGTTTATAAAAATATTTTATTTTGTTAAGCCCTCCAGGCAGCTTATTCAAATTAGCGTTCTATGAGTCACCGTGCAGAGTTTTATTTTTGCTCATTTTCTCCTCTCCCAATTAGGAAAATCTCATTCAACCAGGCAACTGACCAGAAGAAAGTCTGGTTCCTTCTAATTCCTCTCATCCTTCAAATCTCCCCAGTCCCATCCCAAGTGAAAACAGGTTATAACAGGAATGCTATAACTATTATAATAGAAATGTAGTAACAGTTAACCTCTACAAACTGACTCTTTTCTGCCGGGTGTACTTAAATCTCAATAAATGTTATTTCCTGATGAAGGTCCCACCTAAGCAAATTTTCTTCAATTTAATATGGTACCCCAGCTACTGATCCAGACTTCTGGAACAAATTCCTCCTTTTTTTCGTTTTTAACTTAAGTGTAGTTGACATGCAATGTTGTATTAGTTTCAGGTATACAAGACAGTGAATCAACAATCCTGTATGTTAGACAATGCTTTACCAGAGTAAGTGTAAATCCTTCCTTCCTTAAATTAACATCCCTTTGTTACATCTGTACAGAAGACCTCAGTTTTAAAAAAGAAACACACTATGATTCCCTTACATCTATAATTCCATTTCCCTACCAATTCAATCTGGCCTTGCCACTCATTAGTACTACTCCAATAGCCAGTTACATGTAACTGTAATCCATCTCAGTTAACGGAGCTCAAGATCAATAGACTCAGACAAGATGGTCTAAGTGATTTTACAGATCTAATATGCCTAAAGCTTCATGTGTTATTCTCACACTTCCTTAACAGTAAGATGAAGACAGTAGTAGGAATAGTAGTAACAGTGGGAGGCAATACTTACAGAGCCCCTATTATCCACCAGGCAGTTTTAAGTACTTTACAAGTATTAATCTAATCCCAAGAAATGGGAGCTATTATCCCCCAAATTTTCCAAATAAGAAACTAAAGCACAAAGAAGTTAGCTAACTTGCCCCGGATGAGAACTAGTATGGGACTCAGCTTACATGTGAACCTAGTCGGTCTGACCCCAAGACTCACACTATGAACCACTAATGCTATACTGCCTCTCAATATAAACGAGGATTAACGCAAAATTTAGTCACCAGAAAACAGGTTTAGTTAATGAAACAAACTGAACTATAAATAAATGAAAACCCAGATTCACAGCCCTTTTCTTAAATGGCAACATGTAGAGGTTCTAAAACTGCAAAAACACTGCCACTTTAATATATCATAGAGAAATTTAAATAGGCATTATTAAGAAAAAAATCCTTTGTTCAGCCAACAATGCTCCTGATCATGCCACATGCTACTACAGAGAAGTTTCAGAGAGGATTACCTTGTTTTCTTCTAAGTTCCTTTTCAACTTTTCTTCCAGGTCCCTGGTCTCTTCTGAGCCCTCGAGTTTTCTCTGCTCATAATTTTCGCATGCCTCCTTAAGCTGCTCTTGTAAAACCTGGTACTCCTTCTCAATCTGTAAAATATCTCCCTAAAGGTAAATTATAAAATTATCTATTAAAAATAGTTTAAAATGCCTATTTCTGGTCTCGTTCTGAACAGCCTCTTAAAATAAACAGAGAATAAAAGGCAGATGAAAATTTACAAGGGAAACGTCATGATAATTCATTCTGACTCACCTGTTGTGCCTCAAAAGGATCATATGGCTCAGTATTGACTTCTTGATGTCTTATATTCCAAGACACCTTTGGGGCAAAACAAACACTTAAATTTATCTCAATTGCTCTAGTAAAATAAATCCATCATGTAATGACATTCTTAAGGCATGCCCACCAATTTTTTCAAGGTTTTTTTTTTGACAATTTTAATAATGTTGTATGCTTTCTACAAATACTTGTATTAGGAAAGAGCTATCATATAGAATTAGTAAAAATAAAAATGACTTTGGTTCGTTATTCTTAAGTTTTTTTTTTTTAAGATTTTATTTGAGAGAGAGAGACAGTGAGAGAGAGTGCGAGAGAGAGCGAGAGAGAGAGCACAAGTGAGAGAGCACGAGCAGGGGGAGGAGCACGGGGAGAAGGAGGCTCCCTGCTGAGCAGGGAGCCCAACGCGGGGCTCCATCCCAGGACCCTGGGATCATGACCTGAGCCGAAGGCAGATGCTTAACCAACTGAGCCACCCAGGTGCCCCTTAAAATGTTCTTTCAAAGCTTTCTTAGAAGACAGAAAATATAATGAGGAGGGGGATAATCCAACAACGAGTTAATGAATTCAAATCCTATAGAGTGAACTATGGGAGAACATCAATTTATTCTATGTTTGTTAGGAACTTTTATTCGCATCTCTCATTTCTCTCCACCTGTTATTTTGTTTTGTTTTTAACTCTCCCATTCCTCCCCTATTTTGGTAGGAGAAACTGGTCACACATATAGCCCAGACTCTGCTTTTTTGGGCTGCCTGTGCAAAAAGCACTTTTCCCTTCATTCTCCATACAGTAAGTCTTGTGGGGCAAGCACCCCAAGATGGGAGGCTTCCTGGGTCCAGCACTTCTATAACTGGGTGGGTGAGCTGGTGCTTCAGTGTTGGGCTTCAATGCTAGGACATCCAAGTACTACAGAAACAAACCACATCATCCTTATGGCACCATTATTAATTATTAAGGTGATGCTTTGGCTCCATCTGCTGATTCCTCTATCTTATTTCTCAACTGGTACAAAACTTGGCTAGGGAAGAAGTGTATTATTTACTAGACCCAAAAATTCTTTCTGGATTACCTATCATGCCCTACAAAAGGGTTCATATTTTTAAAAACATTTCCAGGCAAAAGATTTCATAACCATTATAAAGTCAATTATTTAAAAGAATTTTAGTAAATATAATGGCAATGAAAGATGAGAAGGAAAATTTAACTTCAGTATTAAGATGACTTTTTTCTATTTAAGTCTTACCTGTATGGCAACCACTTGTGTATGTGGAATATTTGTTATTTCATCGGTATTTCCTGGATTTACTTCCCACCTGTTGGCAGAATTTCCACAGAGACCATCGTATCTGTTCGACTCACTAAAGGCTGTATCAGCACTGTCTGTGCTGCACGGTGTCTTTACTGATACTTCCAGAGAGTCCTGAAGGATCTGTGTTTTCGGGACAATCTGGTTACCAGGGGCATTCTCAGCATGCAAATGATGACCCTCAAAATACACAGCAGCACTTTCACCGGGTCCGTCACTGGCTGTAACAGATGGTACCAGCGGTACTGATCTTTGCAGCTGATACTCAGAAGAAACGCTGGCCAGAGATGTATAAATGTCAGTGTACTGGGGCAAACTCGGCAACACATTCATATATGTTGGTGGTGTCTGGGTAACGTCAAACCCCCGAAAGGGGAGGTATGTACAGTATCCTGTGACCAAATGGGGTTGAGTCCAGGAGGTTGGTTTCACATCCTCAGAAGCTGGTTTGGGAGAATTAGAGGACACTCCCTTGTGACCTGCATCCTCGGATACTGGTTTGGGGGGATCAGAAGAGACCTCTTTGGGTTTCTCATTCTCAGAAACTGGTCTAGAAGAATTATCAGACACTGGTTTTGGCTTCACAGCCTCACAGGTTGGTTTGGGAGAATTTGCAGCTATAGGTTTGGGCTTCACATCCTCAGAAGCTGCTGCTGAAGATAAATCAGACACTGGTTTGGATTTTACATCTGGTTTAAATTCCCTAGCGGATGGATTCAGTGGTAGTTTAACTCGTAAATACTCCCCTGTTTTTGAAATTTCTTCCACTTTTGTCTTAATGTTTTTCTTCTTTCTCTTCTTCTTGAGCCGCAATGCAACTTTCTTCAATGCAATACAGTTGTCAATCACAACAAAACGAGGACATCCCAGGAGAAAAGATTTCAAACCTCCAGCTTTTTCTAGTATCTGTCGAGTTTCTTCTGGGAAGAATTCATATTCTTCAGAGAACATTTTATTACTCATGTCCAACGGACCATGCTCCTCCAACAACTGAGAGAAATAACTTGGAAAAAAAATTATGTTTACATGTGATAAGGAAGTACTTATACATGTTCATTTGAAAAAAATATATTCCCCAAAATTCTCCCAAAGCAAAATACTATTTCAATTCCAACTGATCTCAACAGCTCCCCAACACATTATATTCATATTAAATCTGACAAAAGCTAACTGCAATGAATGATACTCTAAAAGCAAAATTTTGTTTACCCCTTGGAAAATAATCGTTAAAAATTTTTTTAAAAGAAAGGGATTAAAAAGTTATTTTATAAATTTCAATTACATAATTACATAATCTATTTTAAAAGTAATGAAAAGAAAATTTACTATACAAGAATATCAGTAACAAGAATGTCAAATGAGAAGACATCAAATTTCACTAAAATCCTATGGAATTTGCCTCTAGTAATCTTAACATTTTTCTGTTTAAGAATAGGCAATGATTTAGAGGTACTGAAATTAATCCCGTCTGATCAATAAAACCAATACATTACAGGATCAGACACAGAGTAATGGGGCGATCCCTTAATCTACTTCCAATTCTGGACTGGGGCTCCCTCCAGTTCTGGGGCTATTTTTTTTCCCATTCTTGTGTCAGCCTCAAAGAGCCTTACTCTTCTATTCGAATTTGGTATACAGTCTGTAACAGTGGCATTAACTAGCAAGAAAGACACGTAACACACACCACCAAAAAGATTTGCTTTTTCAAGAGCAAAAATCTCCAAAGGGACTTTCTTAGTAAATTAACACTAACCAGAAAGACAATTTATTTAGGGGAAGGTAAAAATAACACTTCTTTGAAGCAAAAGAAACCTCTTCATGTACAGATGCTGCTAGAGATAAAGGCATACGACTATTTTTGCAAATGATTATCCTCTATTCAAAGTAACTGATACTCTGAAGGCTGAAGACGAAATGCCACTACTTTTCGTCAGCAATGCTGCTCTAAATACTTAGTGTTTTTTGATGACTACTTTCCTCTTAGAATAATCTCTACAACTGAAACTCCCCAATACATATTGTTTTTGCAAGGTGACAGGTTAGATTTGTTTTCACTTTAAGATTCCCATCAAACTTCATTTTTATTTTTTTAAGATTTTATTTATTTATTTTAAAAAGAGAGAGAGAGCACACGCACATGCAAGAGTGCACTCGAGGGGAGAGGGAGAGGGAGAGAAATCCTCAAGGAGACTCTCTCCGAGGATACGGGGCTCAATCTCAGGACTCTGAGATCATGACCTAAGCCGAAATCAAGAGTTGGCTGCTTAACCAACTGAGCCACGCAGGTGCCCCTCAAACTTCATTTTTAATGAGAAATCTCTAAAAGCAGAAGGGTTTGAAGGAGAGTAAGGTAAAAAAAAAATCACTGTAGTCTCAGAAACAGTAACTCTTGTTGAGGATTTTGGCTGATTGATGTAACTTCGGCTCTACCATCTCTCTGAAGAGAGATACCCATCCATTTGGTGTTTAGCTGCCATTAAGCAACAGCAGAATAATTCATGAATGGTGTATGTGTATTTACTTTTTACTCTCCATGATGAATATTAAAGAGAATCACTGAAAAACAAAGCTTTCCCACCTGGATTAAAACACTTAAATCCAAAATGGGATAACTAAAAAACAGAGTCCACATTCAAGGAAACCACTCTAATTCAGCAATGGGCTTTTCTTTTTTTGTTTGTTTTTAAAGATTTTTTTTTTTTTTTAATTTATTTGACAGAGAGAGAGAGAGCACAAGTAGGCAGAGCGGCAGGCAGAGGGAGAGGGAGAAGCAGGCTCCCCGCTGAGCAGGGAGCCCGACGCGGGGCTCCATCCCAGGACGCTGGGATCATGACCTAAGCTGAAGGCAGACGCTTAACCGACTGAGCCACCCAGGCACCCCAGCAATGAGCTTTTCAGTAGCTAGCAATGTAAATGATAGGGCAGATCTGTGATGACTACCAGGCAACTAATAAAAGTCATATTCTTGAAGAGTCAAGGATATGAAAAAATGCTCACTATGCATTTTGAGTGAAAAAGGTTATGACAAAGCTGAGTGTATAGTAAAATCACAGTTTATAAATTTTAAAACCTATGTTTTACACATCTATCTACATTTTAAAAGCCTGAAAGGATATACACCAAAAATTAACTGTGGTTAAATCTGGGTGATAGAATTATTCATAATTTTTATTTTTCCTTTATTTAAAAAAATTCCATAGTAATTTATATTATTTTTTTTTTTAAGATTTATTTATTTATTTGAGAGAGCGA